ACACACACACACACACACACACAGCTGTTTGCCGTCCTTGTGAGGACGTCCTCAGACTGACCTCGTGTCTAAGGTCTGACAGTGTGTGTTTCCCTGTTTGTCCTCAGAAGAGGGGTTAAACTCCACAGTGCCACAAACAGACGTCAGTCCTCACAACATGGGTGAAACCACACAGCCCCTCAGTGTTAATCCTGCTGTGTGTGTTTGTTTGTTCAGATCAAAACGGACAAAAACAGCCTCTTTCATTTTGTCCAACGTGCGTCGGTTCTGGACTGGGAGGCCGAGGAGGAGAACCGAGGAGCTGAATGTTATCAGAGAGCGACAGCAGCAGGAACAAAGAGGAGGAGGAGGCTGCAGGATTTTAATTCTAAATTTAGTGATTGTTCCTCTTTCCTGGATTTGAAACACGTAACTGTGGTTAGCAGCAGAGCGCTCAGAAAACCAGCTGACAACCAAAGCCGAGGCCGGTTCTGAGACGAGCTGCAGCGCTGCTGAAACACCCGAACATGTGAACAGCTGTCAGCACGAAACCGACTCCGGTTCAGATGTGTGGTTCTGCAGGTGTTTGATAGATGCTGGTGAGCAAACACGAAGGACTAAAGCTCTGCTATAAAACTCTGAAGAGGAGAAACACACCTGCAGAGAGCAAGTGTATGAACACAGAGATGAAGACGCTGAAGTCTGAATGAAGTCCATGTCAGGACACATTAGAACCTGAGTGTATGTAAGAACCAGGAAGCAGGACATGAAAGGAATGAAGCATGAAACCCTGGACATGAAGGCATCTACATGTTGGCATGTGGTGCTTTAAAACATGTTCAACATTTAAATCTGTGTTCTCAGGTCCTGCAGGTATTTTGGCAGATGTTGCTGAGCAGACGTCCCGATCCAGATCTCTGCTTTAAACTCTAAAGAGCAGAAACAAACACATGAAGATGATCTCACGGTTTAATCCATTCTTCTGAACCAAAGCCTCTTTAGTTTCTGTCAGATAAATCTGCTGGATGTGGTTCTGTCTGACGCTGCTGTTTCCTTCATGTTATTTCTGTCTCGTTTATCTGCAGCTCTTTGTAACTTTGGTTTTAACCAAGTTGTTGAGGAATTACGTCCTGTTGGTTTATAATCTGTATAATCCAGCTGTACCCCTCGCTGCCTGGAAATGCCTCCACTTTGTGTCTAATTCGGCTCCGGTTTATCTGCAGCATTAAACACTCGTCTGAACCACAAACACTAAAACCTGCTTTCACCTCATTTCTCTGTTCTCTGTGTTCTCAACAGAACTCTGAACGTGTTTGCTTTTGACTGGAACACGTGAGCTTCTTCAGCAGCTGGAGACGGTGCAGATGTTTCAAGAAGTCCAAACATCGGCCGAGGAAGCTCCCGTGATACGGTGGAGAGCTCCTGAGCAGCTACTGGACCGTGTTCTGCATCGGATCAATCAGTTTGATCAGAATGTGAGTCTTTGACCAGAGAGAACCGGATCAAACCTGCGATTCTGCAATCATCTAACTCATCCCATTCTCCTGCTGCTGTTCTGCTGGTTCCGGACCAGTTCTGTTCATCTGTTTCCAAACACAGAATAAACCTGAATATTAACGCACCAAAACGATAAAACCTGCATGTTTGAACACTCCGGTTCCGTCTGTCCTGGTTCTAGCTTCTACCTGCTTTTCCTCAGAGGTTCTGGTTCCGCCAGGTTCTTACCTTCTCGGTGGACTGTGCGGTACCAAAGAATATCGGTACGAAGGCGAGCCAGACGATGCAGGTCGTGTACATGGTGAAACCGATCGGCTTCGCTTCGTTGAACGTCTCCGGAACACCGCGACTCTTCACCGCGTACACCGTGCAGGTTACCTAGCAACAGAGGGGACAAAGGTTACCTAGCAACAGAGGGGACAAAGGTTACCTAGCAACAGAGGAGACAAAGGTTACCTAGCAACATGAACAGAGCAGAGTTCCACACCCTGTAACTACTGATCAGGACCAGGTTCCATCAGACAATCAACAGCAGATCAATAATCCATCGGTGCGTTACCATGAGAACGATGCTGTAGCTGAGGCAGCAGATGATTGACAGATCGGACATGTCACACTTCAGGATGCCTCGTGCAAAGTCGGGGTTTGGCGGCCGTTGCTCCTCGTAGTCGATGATGGTGTGTGGAGGGACGACGGCGAACCACACAAACACGCCGAGCACCTGACGCACACACACAAAGATACACACCTGAGTCCTGTGACCAGCCGGGAGCAGGAACAAGAGGCCATGTGACACCTTTGCACTCACCTGGACAGAGATGAGGATGAAGGTGATGACGAGCTGGGAGGAGGGGCTGATGAATTTGGGCGGAGTCACCGACTTCTTGCCCTGCTCGAAGATGCGGTAGATGCGGTTGGTTTTGGTCAACATGGCGGAATAGGCGATGGCCATGCCGAGGCCCAGCAGGAGGCGCCGGAATGCACACACCACCACACCTGGTTCAGCGATCATCAGGAAGGTGATCAGGTAGATCAGGAAGATACCTGTGGAGGCAGACAGGTGAGGTCCCCCCGCAGAGCAGATGACGTCACCCTCACAGCTGATGACATCACCTTGTCCTCACCTGTCAGCAGGACGTAGCTCAGCTCTCGCCCCGACGCCCTGACGATAGGCGTGTCGTTGAAGCGGATGAACGTGATGACCACGGCGCTGGTTGCTAGGATACCGAGCATGGCGAGAGAAGTGGGCACCAGGGCAAAGGGGGAGTTCCACTCCAGTTTGATGATGGGAGTGGGACGACAGCCGGTTCTGTTGGGGGTGGGGCGCATGTCTAACGGACAGGTCTCACAGTTAAACTCATCCAGCTGGTACTGATAGCCATCACAGAGCTGCAGACAGGTCAGGGAGACACACAGCCATTGGCTCATCAGGTCTGATGACATCATCAGAACAGATGTGATGATGTCACTTGTTTACATTTTACTTGAACATTCAGTGGAGATGAGTTTAACTGATGAAGCAGGCTGAGACGGGTTCTTCAGGCTCCTCAAAGGAGTTTGTGAAGGACGGGTTCTCCAGAGACCTTAAATGCATCTGCATAGGACGGGTTCTCCAGACTCCTTAGTGAAGGACGGGTCCACCTCAGTGTCTCTACGGAGGGCTCTATGTGTTTACGTAGTCTTGTGTGTGATTGTGTGAGTTAGTTTTACCTCACAGTGCCAGCAGCAGGGAACACCTTTCACCATCTTCTTCCTCTCTCCTGGCTTACAGGGAAAACTACAGATGGACTCTGGAACGGACTGGTCGCCTCCAGACCACTGCATCTCCTCCAGCTGTGGACAGACAGACGACAGGTGGACACATTGAGACAGGAAACTAAGATGCAGCAGGTGTCCCTTTACGTCTTTCAGTTCGATCCAATCAGCTTCTTACGTTGAGTCTCAAGTTGTTGGTCCACTGGCCGATGACGTGGTACCCAGGGTGGCTGTGATTGGTCATCTGAAACTGGAAGATGTCGTAGCGTCCAGGAGCATCCCCGTTCTCATTGAACAGAACACTCGTACCTGCGCTACCTGTGGAAGACAAAGCCAGAGAGACGGACAGGTGACACTGGGTTCTAAGGTCTGAAGCTGCAGACTACATGGTGGACTCCTCCCTCTGTGATCCGAGGGATTTGGTTCTGAGCTCTGGTCACCAGAAGAACAAGAACCTGAATAATACGCTTCTGAACCTGGCTAATCTAAAATAGGCTCGAGTTCAGATCGAATCAACACGTCTGACTACAAACTGAAACGTGAAGCTTCATGAAGGAGGATTTAATGGATCCATGACTTATCAGAACCCGATGGACGGAGATTCAACTGATTTAACAAACTACAACCAAAAAGCTGTTATTTCAACCACCTCAGTTCAAATCAATCCGTTTCTGTGGGTCGGATTCTATCAGAAATGTCGGTCCGTGCCCTGGTTCTGAACGTGGAAATCTTCTTCCTGCAAAGTGTTCAGCAGCTGCAACCTTTAATTATTAACACACACACAGCAACACACGGAACCACACAGCAGCACCAGGTCCTGAGGGGGAACATGCTAAGTGCATTAACTCATCATCTCAGAGAGTCAGAATGAAGAAGAAGCTGCTGTGAAAGTCGACCCAGCACCTGAACCACAGAACCCAGAGACACCGGTCCTACAGGACATGGAACATAGAGACCACAGAGCACACAGAACGCAGAACACAGGAACCTGCAGAACACACAGAACACATACAGACCTCCATCCCTCAACAAGCTGTCTGACAAGAACTTTGAAGGTAACGCCGACGAGATCACCTGACCGCCAGGTGACCCGCTGCAGAGATCAGATTTGTTTACGTTCAGGGTTCTGTCTGATCTCCTGAAAACAAACGAGCAGCTCATTAAAGGACAAACTCTGAAAATACAAACATCCTGAATACGAAAACACTGAACTGATTAAATATTCAGAGAGAACAAGAGCTTGTGTGAAGACAGACCAGCAGAGATACAGACAGACAGACAGACAGGTGGACAGACAGACAGNGAACATGTGAGCAGAACTTAGTGGACTCTGGTCTCCTCCATCAGAACATGTGAGCAGAACTTAGTGGACTCTGGTCTCCTCCATCAGAACACGTGAGCAGAACTTAGTGGACTCTGGTCTCCTCCATCAGAACACGTGAGCAGAACTTAGTGGACTCTGGTCTCCTCCGTGCTGAGGAGGACTGAGTCTGTCAGCAGATCAAGACTGAAGGAACCAGAGATGGACTCGCTGTAGTTCAGCTTAGTTCCTGCTGTGGAGCCTGAAGTTAAATCTATAAATCTAAACTGGTAGTTTGTAAATTGACACTGTATGAAATAGTCCTTTAAGATAAATCCTGACAGAACACAGACGGATCCAGTAACTGCAGCTCATATCTAAATGACCATGGATCAGGTCTGGTTCTGGTCCAGCAGCTGCAGGTTGGTGAGGATCAGACTCATATTTCAGCACCTACTCTGTCTGAAATATTAAATTCTGTCTGAACGAGACTGAAGCAGAAGAAAAACCGAATGAATAAATGAGAAGCTTTAAAAGCTGCAGCAGAACGACTGAACCTGAATCCAGGACACCGGCGCCGAGCTCCGATTGGCTCCTGAGATCAGCTGATTTCAGGTTCACGTCGTCTGTTAGTCAGTTCTTCTGAAACCATGAGGACAGTTGGACGGTTTTCACTGTACCTGTCCAGGTGAGCTGCTCTCAGAACTGCACCTGGATGATAACATTTGCAGAGCTGCTGGACAGGTGACCACTGCAGGAACCAACAGGTCACTTGAAGACAGCCTGAACCTTTGTTCCAGCTGCAGGAACCAGCCCTGTAGAACCTCTTTCAGGTGCAGATGTTGGATCCGACAGAAAGACTGAAGCGGGTCCATGATGTCCCGAATGGAAGGAAACTAGAAATGCTGTAGATTCCTACATTTCACTCATTCGAGAAAAATAAAGTCACGTAGAAAATGATCAGGTCCTGTTATCAAAGTAGAACCAGGTGGATCCACAAAGAACTATCTGAAGAAAATGGTTCCTTAAAGAACCTATTTTGGCCAAAGTTCTGTGGAGCACCGGTTATGGTGCCGACAGGAGGGCACTGAAATGGTTAAAGAAGTGGTTCTATAAGAAACTCCATTAATGATGTAGGAGCTCCTGTCCAAAAAGTTCTCTGGGACGATAAAACCGGTTCTTCTGTGGTGTCACTTTGAAGAATGACGCTTGGTTCCAGTGAGCACCTTTGTGTTTCTGAGTTCCAAGGGCCTCATTTGTAGATTTTCCTCCTCACTGTTCATCGTCATGGCAAAGAGGAACTTTTGAGGAACTCAGCGAGGCTGAAGCAAACCAGAAGCTACTGTTTGATGCCTGAAATGTTGGGATGAGCAGCGAAAGAACAAAATGCTGCATCGGACACGAGAACCGCAGCAGTTATTCCCGTTGGTCAGAGGACAGACCACTGACGGAAATATATAAATATATATATATATATGTGTGTGTGTGTGTGTGTGTGTGTACATGTTTATTTTAACAATATTTTTGGGGCTTTGTTGCCTTTATTCAGAGCTGCAGAGAGAGACAGGAAAAGAAGAAGAAGAACAATAAAACTGGTTGATGCTGACTGTCGGAAGAAAAGAGCGACTAAACCATCCCAGCAATGCGCTGTCTGATGGGGAAACGTGTCCCGGACACGAAGCAGAAGTCCAACTGAAATGTGTTGGTTTGAAGCTCGTGGTGGGAACACGACGACTGGAAACATGGCGTCCTCTCAGAGTTTAACCAACCAGCAACACGACAGTTTTCAGGTCCAGTCAGAAGCAGGAACTTTGTTCTGCCCTGAGAAGTTCTACAGGGACGGTTCCTGCAGTAGGAACAAAGGTTCAGGCCACCATAAAACCACCTGTGAATTCCTGCAGTGGAGAAGATCTTTTGAAAGCCAGTGGTTCATGTCCACAGTGAGCCGACGCTGGGTCACATGACATTACTGCCAAAATAAGAGCCTGACCGAAGGTTCTGCTGATTTGGAGGTGGACATCTTCTTCAGGTCCTTCTGTCCATTCTCAGACGCTTCAGTGTGTCTGTTCAGCAGGGTTCTGAAGGTCGAGGCGAAGGAGAACCTCAGGACGGTCAGGTGAGTCGCTCCACCAGGTGAGGCTGCTGTCAGATGGAAACCAAACATCTTCTGGTTTAATGGTGAAGCTCTGATCAGTCACCTGCTGCAGGTGGGTTGATGAACCTTTTGTACCAGCTGATGAAAAGCCAGCCTTGAGGTCAGAAGGGAAACCGTTTTAGGAAGCGGTTGGTTTATATGAAATCAAACTTTGAAGCTGAAACCGATTCCTCTGGTTTCGTTTGATATTTTATAATGTTCAGTCTGAAAACTGGAGCAGAAAAAAGCCCAGAGGATAGTTTAGTGTGACGTGACGTTACACACAACAATGTGTTGCTGGTGTGTGTGTGTGTGTGTGTGTGTGTGTGAGCTTCACGATGACATCATCAGGATCTGCACAGGGATTGGTCAGCAGCTACCTGAGGAGACACAAACACCAGTTTATCGTTATTTCAGCTGTTTTAAACACCAGCAGACCTACAACTAAGTTTAATGTGATACATTTGAGGGGCTCTGAGTTACTCAGAGGGACGGAACCTGGATCACTTAAACCTGAACTCAGGTTTCACTAATCTGAGGTTAAACCACTTCAAATGTGTCCAGCTCTCAGATTATCACCTTACACTGTGATGTGACTGTGAAGACCGACTTAACCAGTTTAACCAGCTTAACCAGCTTAACTAGCACACTGACGAACAGACATGAACCACCTGCAGGCTGAGATCTGATTGGCTGTCAGGTTGTATTGATCAACCATGATATTGTTCAGCTGCTGTTCTGGTTCTGTTCCTGAGGAATAAATCAAATCAGGTTTATTGTCATGTTGCAGTACAGGCAGGAGGAGAGAGCCTTTCTTCAGGATCATTCAACCAGCAAGTTTTGTAGAATGAACATCTGGTATAGACACGAAACGCTCGCTCTCGCTGTCTCCTGAAGGGGGCGCTGCGTCCATGCATGCCACCATTCATTGAACATGGAGAACCTCTTCAGGTCCTGGTAGGTCTTCAGGGACACAAAGACAC